AACACAGGTGAGTTTATCCTGGGCTCAGGCGATCTTTCCGCGTTAGCTTCCTGAGCAGCTAGGACTACAGACACACACCACCTTGCCTGGCTAATTTTTAAATTTTTTGTAGAGACTGGGGGATGCGGGGTGGGTCTCGCTGTGTTGCCCAGGCTGATCTTGAACTTCTGGAGTCAAGCGGCAATCCTTCTGCTTCAAGCTGAGACTACTGGCACGAGCCACCGCACCCAGCCGGGATAGTCTTAAGGAAGCTTTTGCCTCATAGGGAAGACAGTTTGCAAGCGGGAGAGGAATGAAGGGGACGTGGAATGTTGAGTGGTGTAAGGCTAGGGCTGGCTGCACAGGCCAGGGTCTTCCCCAAGGCCCTCAGGGATGCTAATCCCAGACTCATAGTCCTGTGTGCCTCTCATTTTTTTTTTTTTTTGAGACAGTCTCTCTCCGTCGGCCAGGCTGGAGTGCAGTGGCTTAATCTTGGCTCACTGCAACCTCCATCTCCTGGGCTCAAGCAATTCTCCCGCCTCAGCCTCCCAAGTACCTGGGATTACAGGTATGTGCCACCATGCCTGGCTAATTTTGTAATTTTTAGTAGAGGCAGGGTTTCACCATGTTGGCCAGGCTGGTCTCGAACTCCTGACTTCAGGTAATCTGCCTGCCTTGGCCTCCCAAAGTGCTGGAATTACAGGCGTGAGCCACCGCACCCGGACCCATGTACCTCTCATTCTTACCCATTTATATCACCCATACAATGGTTCTACCTAAAACCTAAGTTGCCTTTTAGAACTGAATGGCTTTGTATGCAAATCCCGATTTCCAACTTCTCTTGGAATTTGGCAAAACCAAGATAGCACAGGGATTGTGAACAAGCAGTAAAACCACTCCTGCCTGCACCACACGTGTTAGTGTGCTGGGCCCTGCCTGGAGGCTGCACCAGAGGCAGCTGAGCTGTGAGCCCAGCCATGAGCCCACACACCCAACACTGGCCTGAGTAAAAATGTGTCTCCTATTTATTGATGCTACTTACTCTCCAGCATATTAGATGATGTCACTCTTAGTAGTATATTCATTTAAAACAATCTGGAGCAAATTTCCCCGGTTAAACTTCACTCCCCATGGGTTGCAGGGTGGTACCCCAGTTGGTCTCCAACCTCCACTTTCCCAGGGGGCTGGCTTGCACCTTCTCCTTCCTCAGGCCCCAGCTCCACCCGCCTGCATGCAGAGGCCCTCCCAGAGGCCCTGCTTCATGGCCCATCTCCTGGCTGCTCCTCAGCCCAGCTGTGGGACTGACCCTTCCATGCCTCCGGAATGCTCAGTGAGGCCTCCAAGGCCACATGCTCGCCTCTCTGCCCTCACCCTCCTGTCAGTGCTGGCTGGGACCTCCCCTCCTCTGTGTTGAAGGACACTATGGCAGGGCCTCCAACTGCACCCTTGTCTGTGCCCTGCCCAGGGGCCCCTCTCGTCCTGTGGCTTCACACCTTGTCCCATTCATCTAACATCAGTGGAGCCACTCCTCCCACTGACCTGCACCCAGCGTTTCCACTCAAGTCCCTCGTGGTGTCCCCCCCAACAATGGCACAAAGGTCCTCATTTCCCCACCAGGGGCGCAGATGGACCACCAGGGGTCAGGGGCAGGGGGTCCCCTTTGTCTCTGACACTCACCCTCAGCACATCCTTCCCGGAGACCCCCACCCTGTCCTGGCCTCCTCTTGTCCTCTCACTCCTCCTGCCCCAGGTGGGGACCCTTCCTCACGTGCCTGGATGATCGCAGCCCACAGTGGCCCACCCTCCCTCCAAGCAGCAAGGGAGCCCCTCAGGCCCAGGCTGGGTCACACCCCTTCCCGCTTCCACTTCTCACTGCTCTCTCCCATCACTCAGGACAGAGCTGGCTCATCCTTGGCGCCTGGCAGGAGGCAGGGGTGTTTCTCCCAGGCAGAGGGCCTCGACTCTTGTGATTTGTTCTCTAAGCCAGCTGCCACGGGCTGACTCTCACCTGGTGCCATGTGGGGCCTCCTGAGGGCACGTCCCCAAGAGAATGCCCACACGCTATGTGGGGTGAGGGAAAGAGCAAAACCAATGGAGCCTAGAATGTCCCAGCACAAGCCCCATGGGAACATCCACACCCTACAAAGCTCTCGGGGCTGAGAGAGGCTCTGGGTGGCCAAGAACACCGTCTCTCTGGCGGCTGTAGGACCAGTGTGGCCCGGAGCACCCACGGGGGACAGAGCCAGGTGCTGCTCTTGGTGCCTCACCTCCAGCACAGGCGAGGACCTCCACAAAGTGGTACGGGAACTTTCCTTTCTTAAGCTTCAGGATCATGTTCTGGATGTTTCGAAAGCCATAGGCTGCAGCAAAGCGTAACACCACCTCCCCATTCTTCTCAAGGGTGACCTCTTGGAAGTCTTTGTTTCTACAAAATGAACACAGAGAATTTTGATCCATCAAGTCCTTTATCTGTGACTTAAGAACACTTGTTTTTTCTTGAGACAGGAGTCTTGCTCTGTCGCCCGTGCTGAAGTGCAGTGGCACGATCTCGGCTCACTGCAACCTCCACCTCCCGGGTTCACACCATTCTCCTGCCTCAGCCTCCCGAGTAGCTGAGACTACAGGCGCCTGCCACCACACCTGGCTAATTTTTTGGATTTTTAGTAGAGACGGGGTTTCACTGTGTTAGCCAGGATGGTCTCAATCTCCTGACCTTGTGATCCACCCGCCTCGGCCTCCCAAAGTGCTGGGATTACAGGCGTGAGCCACCCAAGAACACTTTCTAATGTGAGTTTGGAATGTCAGCAAAATAAAAGTTCTAAATAAACACAAAAAAGCCCTTTCGATTGTGACTGGTGTAAACTCCATACACAGAACCGCCACATGCACAGATCCACACGTGCACACGTGCTGACCACAGGCACAGACAGGCTGTGGACCCTGCCCCACACCTCAGGGCTCGGTAAGTGACCTCCTCTACATCCTCGTTGAACAGCTCCTTGGCCGCATGTCTGAAGATGTGTGCCAGGTGCCCGTCCGAGCTGGCTCCATCATGGCGCGTCACCTTGTCCTCCTTCAAGTCTCCAAACCTCACCAGGCAGAGAAAAAACAAGTCCATCATGAATGCTGATGTACAGTGACAGCAAGCGTGAAACCAGACTTCCAGAGAGCATCACAATCCAAGGTCACCACCAAAGAAGCTAAATCCTCTACAAATGTTTAAACTTTGGAGAAAGTCCCATTTCTAGCATCTTGAGGGGTCTCGGGAGGGCGTGCCTGATGCTCGGGCCAGGCGGAGGACTCTCAGTCACGCCGAGCCCATGCACAGGCTCTTGCAGGTGCTCCAGATGCTTATGGTCTTTTTCTTTTCTTTGAGACAGGGTCTTTTTCTGTCTCCCAGGCTGGAGTGCAGTGGCACAATCATAGCTCACTACAACCCCAGCCTCTTGGACTCAAGCCATCCTCCTACCTCAGTCTCCCAAAGTACTGGGATTATAGGTGTGAGCCACCACATATGGCCCCACAGATGCTTAACTTCTATCTCACCTTCCCCCAAAAGGACATGAAGGCAGCACCTGGGATGCGGAGTGTTGGCGAGGACACACGCCGCTGCCTTTGTGGTGCTCTCTGCCCAGTGCCTGGGGTGCAGCAGGAGCCCCAGGCCTTGCTGGGTATCAAGGTCACCGCCCCCAGCAGAACCCAGCCTGTCACTCTTGGTGCAAGGGGGCCTGAGGGAGCTGCCCCACTGCCCCACAGTGGAACGTGAGGCACAGACGGCACTCAGGAAGAAGGGGGCTGGCGCACACATGAACGGCCCTGCCCCAGCGAGCACAAAGCTGTTTGTGCTTCTCGTCCTTCCTCGAGGGTTTGGGGTGGCAATCGCACCATGGAAGCCCGCCAAGCCTCCCAACTCCCTGGCAGCCCTGGTGAATGGTATCCCACTCAACAGCTAGAAGGGTGGCTGAGGGTTGTGGCGGGGGCCCGGGGGACTGCATCTCAGTGCTTCACATGGCCTCGTCATAAAGCAGGGCAGCCCTGGGCCTGTCAGGTGGCTGGCAGGGCTGACGGGAGGTCCTGCCGCCCAGAGGACTCTTCCCATATAAGCCACTTACAGAGTGTCGACGGCAGCATCCTTCACTGAGAGGTCACCTTGCTCCATTATTTGAGCAATTTCACCTACAGACAAATGAAGTAAGAGACACTGAAAAGACACGGGTGGCCACAGGAACTTTTCTTCCCCTGCAGGAAATTTGACATTAGTGACCCTGGATGACCTCCCTCCTATGAAATCTCCATCACAGACAGCAGGAGTGGAGTCCATCTAAAGGGCAAAGTGAGGCCAATAAAATCAAACACTAATAAAATGTAAGCAGAATTCAATTCGAATTCCTCTTTCCATTCCTCTTTCTGCCCTCAAACTGCGGCATTTATGTAAACAATCTCTCCATGATTTTCCCATGCGGAAAATCTGTAAACTTTTTTGGTCCACTTTGCATGAAACAGAAAACTTTGTTACAACAAGCTCACAGAAATAGAATGATGAAATATATACTGGGTGCATTTTTTTTTTTTTGAGATGGAGTCTCACCTCCGCCGCCCAGGCTGGAGTACAGTGGTGCGATCTTGGCTCACTGTAACCTCTGCCTCCTGGGTTCAAGGGTTCAAGCGATTCTCTTGCCTCAGCCTCCCGAGTAGCTGGGATTATAGGTGCGCACCACCACACCTGGCCAGACAGGTCTCGACCTCCTGACCTCAGGTGACCAGCCTGCCTCAGCCTCCTGAAGTGCTGAGATTACAAGTGTGAGCCACTGTGCCCAGCCCATTTTTTCTTTTTTTTTTTTTAGAAACAAGGTCTCCAGTCTGGCCAACATGGCGAAACTGCCTCTCTACTAAAAATACAAAAGTTAGCCTGGCGTGGTGGTGTGCGCCTGTAATCCCAGCTACTTGGGAGACTGAGGGAGGAGAATCGCTTGATCCTGGGAGGCGGAGGTTGTAGTGAACTGCGATGGAGTCACTGCAGAGCCTGGGCAACAGAGTGAGACTCCGTCTCAAAAAAAAAAAAAAAGAGACAATGTCTCACTGTGTTGCCCAGCGAGGTCTCAAACTCCTGGGCTCAAGTGATCCTCCGGCCATAGCCTCCTGAGTGGCTAGAACTAGAGGCCTGAGCCACTGCACCCAGCTACATTTACATGACATATGGTTATTCTGCAATGAGATCAACTGAAAGTGAGAACCTCTTTCTGTATTTCCTTTTACATGAAGATGCCTGAAAAAACCCTTAATAGAAAAACTGAGCCTCTAAAACCTGACTGTGGCATCACATCAGATGCTGTGAGACGGCTGGAAACACAGGTAAGAAAATAGCATAATTTCCTATAAATCTGCACTCAGAAAAAAGATGGCTGGACATGGTTCTTCTGATAGCCTGCTGCGCATGTTTTTATTTTGTCAACACAAGCAGATGGCCCCTGGGCCCTTCCTCTGAGAGTGAAGGATGGCAGTGCTGAGGGCCCTTCTGTCCCTCATCCTTCAACACCTCTGCCACATCACCCCACAGGGAGCCTGTGCCTGTGGGGTGGGGACCTTTCCAGAGGCATCTGCGTGCTAGAATTTCAAGTCAGGGGACTGTGAGGGACATTGGCATCCTTAAAGACTGTCCCTGAGAGCTGACCTCTCTGCCTCACGTACCACTAATCTAAATACCTGCCGGGACCTGTTTTCCGAGACCAATTAAAACAGTTCCACCAGAATTTTAACAGTCTTAAGCTTCCCCCACCAACTGACGTCAACATTCTTCTGAATGGGTTCTACATAATTCCAGGGAATGACTTCCATCCACAACACACACAGAACTCACTATAGGCTCTTAACATCTGAAAGGAGTGGCCAATACAGTGGTAAAGGCAATGTCACTGAAGCAAACGTGCCTTTTTCATTTTACTCTGAATGAAAAAAACTTCACTTGTGTTTTAAGTGCAGACTTGGTTTGTGAGAAGGAGACCCACTATGGCTATAGACAACTTTCCTACCAAGAGGTAAGTACCCTGCACGGACTGTAATGTAAAGTCAGGGCCACCATATTGCTCGAGTGGTTCTCCCAGAGACCTGTTTTATCTTTTATTTTTGAGACGAAGTTTTACTCTCGTTGCCCAGGCTAGAGTGTAACGGCGTGATCTCAACTTACCGCAACCTCTGCCTCCCGGGTTCAAGCAATTCTCCTGCCTCAGCCTCCTGAGGAGCTGGGATTACAGGCATGTGCCACCATGCCCGGCTAATTTTTTGTATTTTTAGTAGAGACAGGGTTTCCCCATGTTGGTCAGGCTGGTCTCGAACTCCCAACCTCAGGTGATCCACCTGTCTTGGCCTCCCAGCTGTCAGTAACTTCAGACAAGTGACCACAGTGGCAGGCGCTGAGATGGCTCTGGGACACAGATCTGCCTGGCTCCAGTGTGTACTGGCCAGTCGGAGAATCCCCCAGCGCCCAGGTGCGCCCCCGCCCACCTCTCACCTGATGTTAACACACAGTCAGCGCCCCGGGAGCCATGCAAAGCGGGGGGAAAGCCTTCCTGAAGAGCCTCTAGCTTCTTGTCATAACAAGGGGCCACGATGACGTGGAAAATCTTCTCTGGAGACAGGTTCTGTGGGAGAGGGGCACCCATGTTTAGGGCTGGTGGAGAGGTGACGATGGCAGCTTACACTTGGTGCCCAGGACAGGAGGGATGGGAGACCGACTGCCCCCTGCTGTTGCCCTCCAGACACTGCATGCAGCACTTTCTCTTTTTTTTTTTTTTTTGAGATGGAGTCTCGCTCTGTCGCCCAGGCTGGAGTGCAGTGGCCGGATCTCAGCTCACTGCAACCTTTTAATGTACATGCTTGAGCACACCCACTCA